ATGCGGTGAAGTTCTCCATTTTGCTTAGGATACTTTTGTCGTTGTTTCTACTAGTTAAAGTATTCTTTAACTGGTATTCTGGCTGCTTCAACTCTACACTGCAACACGGTATGAGCTAAAGACACTGTGCCGCTGTGCGTAATCGAGAGTAGGGTCTTTATTTCTGTTATTTGAATTTATATTCGTTGGCTTTAGTTGGAGTTTATAATATTTGCCATTGTGCTGTAATAAATGATTCAGAGAATGTCCCAATTAGATGGGTGAGTAACATCTGATTGGAATGCTAAGGGTTTGTAATATTTTGTTTTACGAATTTTCTGGTTAACCATCAGTTAACGAGAAGACTTATAATCTCTTAGTACTCTATTAATCCACTTTCCTGTCTAAACAACTAAAGGATAGTGAACATCAGTGGATATTTGTGAGCTGAAGCTCTTGAAGAAGATTCTTCCAAACTCAGTTCCCCTTTTCTAAGTACATAAATACTAGTATAACAGAGACTGGACAGGTCTTTGGATCCTAGACCATGTGTACTATTCCAATTATAACAAAATTAAACATTTTCTTCCCAGTTAAATTTTTATTTGCCACTTTCCGTTCTATGTAGAAAAAGAAAACAAAATAGTTCTCTAAGGATCTGGGCTTCTGATTTTCTTTTCCTCTCATTCTAAAATTTACCATGCTAATTATATGCCAGTATGCTCTTTTGGTTTAAAAGAAATTAAAATTTAAACATACCCAGAATTAAGACTTTTCATACAGATCACTATGGCTTTTCTCGCTCCTACTTAATATGAACGTTTTCAACAGTTGGTACCCTCCTTGAGGATGACAGTTTGTGAAGCCATCCTGGTCCTTCTCCTTGTTCATACTTATCAGAGGTCATCCTCTGAAGGGAGGGCAGAGGTCCATGGCCCTCATGCCAGAATTTCACAAGCCACTGTAAATGTCAAGTGGAAACCTCAGTTTCAGGCTATTGTCATTGATAAATGGATAGTGTATAAATTCTGTTTTATGGTGAATTTCCTGAGAAATGGCATTCAGATGATTTGTTTATTTAATGCACCAGTAATATGTGCTTCTGAGAATTCTTGGAACTTTTAAGATTATTGACTTAAAAACTTTGTAGAGGAATTAGGATTCTTTTTTCTATTCAATATTCTAAGAAGATGTGTAAATTCAATTAAACTCGTACAGTGTTTGGATTGGCAATATGGTCGGTAAAGAAAGAATTAACCTCCAGAGGGTGGATTTTTTAAAAACCCATTTGTACCAAAATGCCTTATAAATTGTTACCACTCTTCAATATTCTTACATATTTTTCCTATTTTTTTCTAGGGACTTGAATTATAATAACTTGGGGGAATTTCCTCAGGCTATTAAAGCGCTTCCCAGCCTGAAAGAGCTGTGAGTATTGCTTTGCTCTCTCTCTGCTTTAATATCCCTAGACTCAGCGTTTAATGTTCCAACAAGGACATTTTAGAACATCTTTGTTCCGTTGCATATACCAGAACACACAACTACAAATGCAAATGCGATCATGCAGATTACTTTATCTTGGCCGGGATGGACAATTTTGAGCACACATTACAGTATTGGGCTAGATTCTGGGGAAAGCATCCCTAATGTGTTGTCTGCGCCTTTCGAATCTTGTAGTCTTGGTTTCACTGGGGAGACTGACCATCTAAGACACACAGATAGCAGTTTCTAGGTAGAAATAAGTGCCGAATGAATAGGATAGATAAATCATTCCAGAAAAAGACCTCATTGAAGCTTGGGGTCATTGGAAAAGGTATCACCAAAGAGAAGGAATTTGAGTGGACTTGAATGGACGTATTTAAATAAGTGAAAGGAGTGAGACAGCATTTTTGGATGTTGGATTTGTCGAGGGCAGAGATAGGAATGTATATGGCATAAGAGGCATTGTGTGTCATGAGATGACAGCTAAGCCCCTCGGATGCGTTGCTTACAGACTAAGTGTGGGCGAGTGAGCGACTTGGTGCTAGACCACCTTTTGAATCTCATGGTCTAAAGTTCTTTGATGATGAAGCAACAGCTAAAGGTAGGTGAGGGACCTGGTGGAGACTAGGTTAAGCAGTGGGCCTAAAAAGAATTAAGTTTGGTCCTGAAAAAGATGAGATGGAATTAAAAATTCAGTTTCTGCACACTTTTGAAATTTTCATGTAGTCGTTATCAGTTGTGTTTTACATAATACTGAACAGTAGTTGATACTTGGTTTTAACTTATTTCACAAGGAATATGCATTTCAAAATATTTTTCTCGTGTCTTTTTAGGTTATTTCATAGTAATTCTATTTCTGTTATCCCTGATGGAGCGTTTGATGGTAATCCACTCTTAAGAACTATGTAAGTAGTTTTGAAAGTTTCTTTTAACATGTGATCTTCTGAAGCTATATTTCTATGATGCCAAACATCTGGATGAAGAGTGAAAATTCAGGCTCTTAGATATATGGACTTTGTGAACATAGATTGTGAACGTATGAAAACTTTTCATTTTTTGGGTGTTTTTACAGACATTTGTATGATAATCCTCTGTCTTTTGTGGGGAACTCAGCATTTCACAATTTATCTGATCTGCATTCCTTGTAAGTATTATACAAATTTTAAAACAAACCTGAATGTTTATACAATTGCTTTAATGGAAAACTAGAATTTTGTTATTATAGCTGCAGAAAACAAAATCTTTTATTTTCTTTTCCTTGGGTGGAAGTCCAAAGGGCAATTCTGAAAATTTATGATGATTCTTATTTGTGTGAACACTTGGCTGACTTAGCACACTTCTAGGTATATTCAAGAGAGAAAACCAATTTTATTTTTGGGTATAGTAATCCTGTAATTTTAAACTGTTTAAAAAGTAAAATGAAAATATTATCTATGGGAAATTTTTATTCTAAAGTCCTTTTTCTCTCCCAATTTCTTAGAGTCATTCGTGGCGCAAGCTTAGTGCAGCGCTTCCCCAACCTCACTGGAACCGTCCACCTGGAGAGCCTGTAAGTGTGGCCCCTGCTGGCCTCTGGTCTTCGGTCATGATGACGACTTTATGTTGATTCCTACCATCTCCTTCTGTGAATATCATGCATGGAAGTGGATATATTGGGTGTGGGGTCAGTCGGCTCAGGGAGAGTGTAGCCTGGTATGTGGAGAGAAGATCTAAAAAAGTTACTGAAAATATAAGGCAGGAACTGGGTGCCAAATTAGAAGCAGTGTGTTAGGAATTCAGAAGTGGCACAGTCCATGGAGACCATCAGAGGAGGGGAAATGTTTCACAGTTGAGTACTGTCAGGTTTCTCAGAGCTGGGTCTTTTATTTAGAAAGGCAGGATTTAGTTAAATGAGGAATACTGAAAATATACTCAAGGATGGCATACAGCTCATCAAATCCAGCTGGCATTGCACGTTTATAATAGAATGGGAAATGAGATGGAGAAATGTGGAAAATTGTCTGGGTCAGTTTTAAAATGGCAAGTCTTGAACACTGAACATTTGGTTATCGCAAAGTGTCCCAGTGGGTAGTCTGTGAATGGGTTACAGGTGCATCCAAGATCTTGATGATCTCAGCTGTCCAGACAGCCAGGTGGGGCCCAAGGTGGCTGGGGTCTCCAGCCACGAGGAGCCTTACCACAGTACGCCACATAAATGTTATGATTTTCATGTGCGCTAAGATGTAAGAAGGGTGAAGTTGGGAAGCACTGATCTGAGGGGTTTAAACTTGACTCTTAAGGCAGTTTGGAAGTGTCGAGAAAGATGGAGCAGGTGGCGTGAGAAGAGGAGAGACTGGAGTTGGGCAGAGCGGTGAGGAGGCCCTGGGAATAGTCCTCTTGGCTCAGTGAACACATTGAACCATGGAGTTCTGTGTCTTCAGTTGTCACTGGAGTTCCTCGGTGTGGCCAGTCTGAGACTCCTACACCCCTCTCTGCCTCATTTCACCCTTGATCTGCACAGTAGCAGTAAAAATGGGGAGAGAAGGTCAGATGCTGGTGCCATGCAGAGGAAGAAAGACCGGGAACTGGTGATTGACTGCAGATGGGAACATACAAGGGGAGGGGAACGTTCAGAATGCTGAGTCGGGCTGACTGAAAGGAAGGACAGAAGCAGGGTTTGGGGGCAGGAGAGGATGCTAAGTTGGTTTCGTATGTTTGGGTGTGAGAGGCACAGAACTTAGAGCTGATGGTGGTCAGGCTGACCATGGATTAGTGTTTTTCTCTTGGCCCGTGAGAAGTCAAGCTCATTGTCTGGTCAATGTTAACATCTCGTGTCACCAGCTTTTCTGCATTTCTATGAAAATGATATTGGTATTGAGGGTTAATAATTCATCTGCACACATGCCTAACTTTTTTGGCCCTGAGCTAACATCTGTTGCTGATCTTCTTCTTTTTGCCTGAGGAAGATTGTCCCCTGAGCTAACATCTGTGCCAGTCTTCCTCTGCTTTGTATGTGGGACGCTGCCACAGCATGGCTTGATGAGTGGTGCTAGGTTTGCGCCCAGGATCCAAACCCATGAACCCTGGGCCACCAAAGTGGAGCATGTGAACTTAACCACCGTGCCACCAGGCTGGCCCCCTCATGTGCCTAACTTTAGGGAGAAATCAGCAGTGGGAGACATAGGCTCTAGTACTTATGCAAATATGTGAGCATTATTTTTCTATGCAAGAGTAGCATTTTGTTTACCATCTCAACTTGAATCATTTCTTAGATGAACTGTGTTTTTCCACAGGACCTTGACAGGGACGAAGATAAGCAGCATATCCAGTAATTTGTGCCAAGAACAGAAGATGCTCAGGACTTTGTAAGTCAGGTTCTCCTTCCCTCCTCATACCTTTACACACTTCACACATGTTGACTTCTGTTTTCAGTGAACTATTTTCATTAGGTGATTTTAACGTCTAATTAGTTCTTATTTGTTTCTTTCATGGAAATGAGCAGGTATGTTAATAGCCCCCCAGGGTAGGTAACGTGCATTGGAATTTGGTTTAATTGTATATTTCACACATCTTGAGACTTGACTTTGAGCAAAGTGAAACCAAGCTGCGCTCTTCCTTGACTTTTTCTTCTCTTGACTCCTTGTCCTTATTCTAGTTTCATTGGAGGTGTTTTCTCTCCATACCCTGCTCTTTCATCCATAACCTAAGCAGAGGCCAAATCTTTCTTAGATCAGGAACCAACTAAGTATGGAGCTTTCCAGAAACTTTTAGCTGACCTGGAAATTAAAAGTAAATAAAGGATGTAAAAATGTCGCAAGAACAAACAATTAAGTTACTAAGTTGTTAATAAGTATTCAGTGGAGGGAGAGAGTAAGGAAATAACTGACTGACTGATGAACCAAGTACAGTCATGTGCCACTTAATGACAGGGACACATTCTGAGAAATGTGTCATCAGAGATTCTGTCATTGTGCGAAAATCGTCAAGTGTGCTTACGCAAACCTAGGTTATACAGCCTATGACACACCTAGGCCATATGGTACTAGTCTAATGGGACCACTGTTATATACACAGTCTGTCGTTGACTGAAACATTGTTGTGCGATGCATTACTAATTAAATGGTGTCACAGAGTATCAAACACATTGATTACTGTTGAGGAAAAACTGCAGTGGGATTAACTGGGAGTTAATTAGTCCCAATATTTGATCTAATGTAAGTGTTGTTGAAAATGTGAGTATGCATACCTTTCCCCTTATAGCTTTTTTTTTTTTTTTTTTTGCTGAGGAACATCGGCCCTGAGCTAACATCTGTGCCAATCTTCCTGCACTTTATATGTGGGTCACTGCCACAGCATGGCTGATGAATGGTCTAGGTCCACGCCTGGGATCCAAACTCACGAACCCAGGCTGCCAAAGCAGAGCATGCTGAACTTAACCACTATGTCATGGGGCTGACCCCCTCTTATAGCCTTTTAAGTAAATAATAGAAACTATTTGTGGTATAATCAATATTGTAAAAATATAAATTAAAATACTTATAACTCTACCACTTAAACATGATTTTTATATATTTTCTGTATTATATTTTTATATATTTATTTTATATGTACTTAATGTTTTAAATTGTATTTTCTATTGTCTGTACTCAACATTATGTACTTGAAGTTTGCAAATCTTAACTGTTTCCTGAGGTCCTCTAGGAGCTTACAAGTCTCAAGAAGAAAGTAGTTGCTTTTCTTGCTCAGCTTTTCCCCTCATTGCAGATCTCAGCGCTGCTCTCCGTGATTTTGGGTGCAGCTCTTTCCATCTAGTCTTCTGATAACATGAAAATGATGTGTTCCTTTCCATTGTTTTAAGGGACTTGTCTTACAACAATATAAGAGAGCTTCCAAGCTTTAATGGTTGCCATGCTCTGGAAGAAATGTAAGTTGGTCTTTGACTTACTTTTTTTGCTGTGGTGTGTTGTTAATTCATTATTTCCTATTTTAAGTAAACGGCCTTAACATTAAGACATTAGAAATTCATATTCTCAGGTGTTCCTATGAATAAATGTCAGATTGTGCCAGGTGTGTTCATGTAGCCGGCACTTATTAGCACCAGGCCTTCTGTGAGACACCACCTGGGGAGGGGGATGTATACAAAAAAAAAACAAAAGCTGGTCCTGGCTGATGAGAGAAACCAGACGTGATCCTGGCACCTGCTATGCGCAGGTACAGGACGGCTCCGGTGGAAGTTGATGGGGAGCTGGGGAGGGAGGCGCTGATTCTCCCATAGTGCTCTCCTCCTTTCTCTGACCTCCTGTCCTAGTGCTCATGATGGTGGGCTGTCTTCCTGCTCTCCCCACCGTGTGCGGTTGAGAAGGAGTGTAGTCGTGTGTGTTAACTCTCAGTAAAATTTGGGAGGGAATACCAGTCAGTGTAACACTTTCATCTTAGAGATGAGGAAACAGCAGTTCTCTTTACTTTCAACAAGATCAGGGTTCCTTATGAATAAGTATTTAAACTTAGAAAAGTTTAATTGGGAAATATTATTTTTCAAAATAGAAAATAATTTTTTTCTCTCTTTTCTTTCTTTTTCCTTTCATTCTTTTCTTCTTTGTCTTTTTTAGCTCTTTACAGCGTAATCAGATCCACCAAATAAAGGAAGGTACTTTTCAAGGCCTGATATCCCTAAGGATTCTGTAAGTTTCTCTATGGTTGTTACAGACAAATAAAAGTTTTGACAAGCTAGAGGTTAACATATCATTACAATTCCCGTGTTAATGATATACTTAAAGATATGATTTATTAGGTGTAAATATTCTTGTTCAAACTTAACCACATGGTCCTTTATAAATACTCTACTTTTGGTATTTTTTTACCTTAGCTAATTTATGATACTGTCTATTGGTGAGTGAACAAGTGTCATGTGTATAACCTGCGAGAAGCAGCTTGTTTGTTCTCAAGTCGTAATATCAAGGTCAGCAAATCCATTTGCAGAGGTAGGCAGACTGTAGCCTGCGGGCCCCGTGCAGCCTGCCTCCTGTCTGCGTAAGGGAAGTTTTACTGGAGCACAGCGGGCCTGTTACGTGCTGCCTAGAGCTGCCTTCATGCTGTGGTGGAGTTGAATAGTTGCAGTGGAGTCTGCACAACCCCAGAGGTGAAGAATATTTACTATCTGGCCCTCTACAGGGTCTGCCGTGGGGTATCTGTCATGACAGATACAGCTAATATGCAGAAGAAGCATCCATTAAAAAATTGTTTGTATTTGGGTGTATATTTGTGCCAAGTATCTATTAGGCATTGGGGCATATAGAGACGACCAAGACAAACCGTGTCACTGTTTTCATAGAACTTCAGTGCAGAAAACACAGTACACCAAATTGGTGAACGTTTTTTAAATACAGAACAAATTTGACAAATTGACAGGGAAGTGAGATTACATATATTGAATTCTGTTTTCCAGTGGATCCCCATTAAGAAATCAAAAATGCATTCTACTAGAAAATGTTTTACTGGTTGGGTGGTCAGATCTTTCCTTGCTGCTGGGTCTGAGCAGTGAGGAAGGGGGCTGGCCCCCCGCTGCCATCACTTCTAGAGCACTGATAAGCAGCAAGAATGAAAAGCTGGCCTCTTCCTGATTTGGAATCAAGTTGGTCGGGTTTTCCTATTCTCAGAGAGATGTGTCATGGCATGAATTTATCCAATCTTTAAATTTCCATTAAGGCTCAGTTTAAGTGTGGTTGCAGATTATTTCCCTGTTTTATTATTTCTGTAATATCAGAATTCCTCGGGGTGTGTTCCTGAATATAGCATGGCTCTGTGTTGATAGGGTTTTTATTTCCTGCTTGGGAAAAGAATGCTATCTGAAGCCCTTCTGGAATGCTCTTGTTTGCATATTGATTATTTGTCTTCCCTCAGCACCTTATCAGTCACCTTTGAGAAGGCAAATAATCGGAAACCTGTTTTTATTTTCAGCTTTGTCAGGGGCTGAGCTTTTCCTCACCTAGTTAATAGTAGCAAAGGTTATATCAATATCATTTGTATTTTTGAACTGGTACCAGGATGATAAGGTAGAGAAAATTCACAACTGTTTTGAAACACATGCCAACTAGAATTACGGCTGCATGGAACACATTCCAAGAAATAGGTTTTTATGAAGGAGTGGCATTCACCATAAACATACAAGATGTTGTAGGACAAGTTTAAAGATCTTTGTTATCTTATCAGGGATATTGTGACTACCTCAGATTCTAAAGTGTTGTCAAAGTAACTGCAACTTGAGGTGATTTGAAAAGATTAACATGTTCTTCTTACAATTGCAGAGATCTGAGTAGAAACCTGATCCATGAAATTCACAGCAGAGCTTTTGCCAAGCTTGGGTCAATAACTAACCTGTAAGTTGACGATTTTATGCAGTAACATCATGAAAGTCATGAATAGTCCACACACTGGTGTTTTAGCATTGTCCTCTCAAAATATGTTTCTGCTTGGTGGTTCCCTCATGTAAACGCTGAGCTGTGTTGATATGGTAACAGCTCCCAAGATGGCAAGAGGCGTGCCAGATGTACTGTTCGAGCACCTGCCCTTCCTTAGAGCTCTCAGATTAAGATGTTAACACGTGTACAGATGTGTTTATGTGATTTGCATCTTAGAAGTTAATCTGAGGTCCTTCACATTTTAGAGATGTAAGTTTCAATGAATTGACTTCCTTTCCTACGGAAGGCCTGCATGGGCTAAACCAGCTGAAACTGGTGGGCAACGTCAAGCTGAGAGAGGCCTTAGCAGCAAAAGACTTTGTTAATCTCAGGTGTGTTTTTGCTTATTTCTCTCTTTTGTCAAGTTCTGGTAGGCTGCCAAATTATAGAGTGTGCTAGTTTCTTGCTATGGTTCCCAGATTTTCTGGAAGGCTATAATTTGAGAGTATTTTCTACCTCAATCCTCGCAAATTTGGTAAAAAATAGAACATGAGCATTATTCTGTAGCTTTTGAGAACACAAATTGGAATCCTTGATGCGGTCAAAGAGATAAAATAGCTGTTCACCTGAATGGTTTTTTTCCAGAAATCACGTAAGTGTGAACCTACGGAAAATTGATAGAATGCTGAAATCCTTGACAGAGACGATAGAGTCAGGGGGACCTCATTAGACAGGGTAGGGAGAGGTCTTGGGAGTATTATTATGGGAGAAGAGCATAAATATTTTCACTATACATAAGAAAGTAAATTCGTTTAATAGTATAAAGTCACAAATGACCTGAACCATTAATTTTAAATGCAACTACCAGTTTCATATGATGCATTAGTTGTGGTTAATTCATTTATAAAAGGAGTCTGATAAGATTTTACTTTAAATTGCAGTATTGCTAGTAAATTTTAAATACGGTTTGATTTAAACTCAGCTTTTGAAAGCATCTCTCATATGTATAAGTGGAGAAACTCATGTTGTCATCTGACACCAGAGGTCTTTTCACAGATGAGGAAACTGAGGCCAGGGGAGAATGATGACCAGCTTAAAGCATGTGCCAGTCAGGTGTTTTTCGGAGTCTTAGGCCCAGGCTTTCAGAGATTAAGATAATTTTACAAAACGAAAGCGTGTCTGTGGAGCTGCTGTTCAGTGTAGACTTTCCACTGTCTTCCAGGTCTCTATCTGTACCCTATGCTTATCAGTGCTGTGCGTTTTGGGGTTGTGACTCTTATGCACATTCAAACCCAGAAGGGAAGAGCCTCCAGGACCACACTGTAGCAGAGGACAAAGGCAAGTGTGTGAGGTTTTACGGCATGAACCCAAGTTTCTGTTACCGTGATCAGTTTGTGAAGGATCAGTCTAAAATCTGTGAGAAAAAAAGCCTTTACTGCGTTCCTGGCATCTCTGATGTGTTATCTAGCTGTGTGCAGGCTGGACTTAACATCACCTACCAGAGAGAAGACTGCAGGAGAGTACAGTTCTTTTGATTGGCAGAAAGCTTGAATTCAACACAGTTTGTGTTGTGTGTTCAGGTCCCGCAGACGCAGCAGGTGTCACCAGCAGTGCGGAAAATGAAGAGCACAGTCAAATAATTATCCACTGTACCCCCTCCACAGGTATGCCCCGTGCAGTGTCTGCAGTTTCTTGCTCCAAATGAACATCAGGCAAATGTGTCTAAAGCTTTTGGGGCTAGATGAGATTTCCTTAACAGGATTGGGGCCAGATGATCTGATTTGCCTTGTCAGAGTGTGGTCTGGGCTCTAGGAGCTGAGGCATCTCCTGCGGAATCTCAGGCCCAGACCCGCTGACTCAGACCCGGTGCGTTAACCAGCTCCCAGGTGCGGGTTATGCTCAGTGGAGTCCGAAAGGCACTCTCTTAATGCTCCTTTCACTCGAGGACCAGTTCCATAAGTTACTCATCTATCAGAATGTTCAGTGTTGTCTCTTTTTTTTTTTTTGATACAACCTTGCCTTTCCTTTTCTTTCTATTTTGTTTCATTGAACTTTCAGCAGACTTTGGAAAGTTACTAAACTGATGCCACATATTTGGTCGTGACTGTGTCATATTCTTCCTAATCTATCTGAGAATGTGGATTTAGAATTTTACTGTGAAATAAAAAATTAAGTAATTGGTTAAATTGTGTGCTTGGAGTAGGTTCCTTTTTAATGTAATGACACAGTATGATCTGGACATTAATTTTCCATCTCAGGATCATAAGTATTATGGATTCTCTAATGATTACTACTGAATTGTGAGCTTCTTGAGAGCCTGTGTGTGTATTCTTTTAATACTTAGCACAGTGCCTTGTGCAGAGAATAAGCTTACAGTGAGCAGATGAGTGAAGGGGATTGGCAAGAATCAGTTACGTTTATGTGATTTATTTTATTTAGTTTCTGAATTAATTGCTGGAAGTTAGGGGTGCAGCTGGCTCATTTGCCCCACTGGGGTTCTTGTTTTGGAGAATGTGCATAAGGAGCTGACAACCCGGTGAAAAGGGAGCAGCTTTACTAAAGGGGAGGCTGGACCTGAACACGCAGAGATTCCATTTCCTCCACACTGAGTCTAAAGCTTTGGGTCACCCAGGAGGGAAGTTGGTCTGAGCTCGTCTCCCGAGGCTGCAGGGGGGATGAGCTGCAGGCCCGCCTCCTCCACGTGGTTGTGGTAATACACAGACACTCAGCACAGGAGGTGGAGGAGAGCGGGATCCCTCTGTTAGAGCTGGAGGAGGCCACAGGTTTCCACAGACACACTGGGGAAACCTACTTGCAGGTTTCGAGGGAAAGCAGCTCCATCCACTAGTCACACTCTTCCAGAGGGTGTCCTGTTCTCCCAGGTCTGATGAGTGACTCCTTCCTTGCAGATGCAGGGATAAAGGTGAACGCTTGCTCTTAGCACTTCCTTGAGAGGGGAATAAAGAAATAATAATTAAAATTTTTTTTCTTGTGTTATTTGGAAGTCAGATAGATATAAATGGCGCAGAGCTGGCTTGTTAGGTCTGTGGCTATCTCAGTGATTAAAATGCTTTATGGGATGTATCAAACTTCATGAGAGTTCAGAAAGATACCTCAGAACATGTCTTTTAGGCAATCGCAATACATTGTTTTCTTGCACTCTGTAGTCAAAATTTTGTTTTTCTTTACTAATTTTTAAATAAAACAGTTGTCATTTGTGTCATTTGATAAGTCATTTGTGACATAAGTAGCATATCAAAGTCAGTTACTGGAATGTACAATTCAGCTACTAAATGAGCTTACAATCCTAGTTTAAGTGACAGAGGGTCTTATCAGACGTAGCTCTGTATGAAGAGTTCACATCAGTGTGGTTTAGTCCTTGCTGTACTGTCTTCCTGAAAAGCCTTTATCAGGTCAGACACTTTGAAATCTCAGTTTCTTTGGGTGAAAATGGGGATAATTCTGCTTATCTTAACCTGCCTCATTAGATTGCCTTTGAAAGCCATAAGAAATGTGTAAGAAATATATGTGTACATACATACATATTCACATGTAATTATTATACAGGATATTAGGACCAGGAAGGAGGCAGAACGGGACCTGTTGTTTACTGAAGTCAGCTCTGTACCCAGTAGCCTGCTTAGGTCCCTATGTGTGTGATATTACCTAAGCTGCACAGCTCTAGGAAACAGCATTATTACCCCCAAGTGGGAAAATGAGATTTATCAAGGTTTAAGTTGCTTTCTTCAGTAAGAGCAGTGGGTTATGAACCCTAAGTTCAAACCCTAGTTTATCTAGTTCCGGCTCTCAGGATATCATGTGGTAGACGCTGTGCTGTGTATATTCACTTCAGTAAGAAAAAGTGAAGTTTTTCTTTTAAATATCGCTGTATGGCATTACCAAGTATTTAATAAAAGAAATTGAAGTCAGTTATTTTTAAAATAGCCCCCTTCAATGACTTAAAATATCTAAGAAATAGTCATCTTTTCAGTTTTGTTCTGTTCAATTTGGGAGCAGATTTAATTATTCTAGATGAGCTGTCTTTAGTTTCTATCAAGCCATCTCATATGGAATGTGTTTTCTAAATTGTCTTTTATTTTTCTCTCTTTTTTGTTGTAGGTGCTTTTAAGCCCTGTGAATATTTGCTGGGAAGTTGGATGATCCGTCTTACTGTGTGGTTCATTTTCTTGGTTGCACTGTTTTTCAACCTGCTTGTCATTTTAACGACATTTGCATCTTGTCCGTCACTGCCTTCCTCCAAATTGTTCATAGGCCTGATTTCTGTGTCTAACTTACTCATGGGAGCCTATACCGGCATCCTAACTTTTTTGGATGCCGTGTCCTGGGGCAGGTTTGCTGAATTTGGCATTTGGTGGGAGATTGGCAGTGGCTGCAAAATAGCTGGGTTTCTTGCTGTTTTCTCCTCAGAAAGTGCCATATTTTTATTAATGTTAGCAGCTGTCGAAAGAAGCTTATCTGCAAAAGATAGAGTGAAAAATGGGAAAAGCGATCATCTCAGACGGTTCCGGATTGCTGCCCTTTTTGCCTTTCTGGGTGCTGCTGTAGCAGGCTGTTTCCCACTTTTCCATAGAGGGGAATATTCCGCATCACCCCTGTGCCTGCCATTTCCCACAGGAGAAACGCCATCGTTAGGATTTACTGTAACGTTAGTGCTATTAAACTCACTAGCATTTTTATTAATGGCCATTATCTACACTAAGCTTTACTGCAACTTGGAAAAGGAGGACCTTTCAGAGAACTCACATTCTAGCACGATTAAGCACGTCGCTTGGCTAATCTTCACCAATTGCATCTTCTTCTGCCCTGTTGCATTTTTCTCGTTTGCGCCATTGATCACTGCAGTTTCCATCAGCCCTGAGATAATGAAGTCCGTTACTCTGATATTTTTCCCGTTGCCTGCTTGCCTGAATCCAGTCCTGTATGTTTTCTTCAACCCAAAGTTTAAAGAAGACTGGAAGTTACTGAGGCGACATATCACCAGGAAAGGTGGATCGGTTTCAGTTTCCATCAGCAGCCAGGCTGGGTGTGTGGAACAGGATTTCTACTACGACTGTGGCATGTACTCGCATCTGCACGGGAACCTGACTGTGTGTGACTGCTGCGAGTCGTTTCTCTTGACAAAGCCAGTGTCATGCAAACACTTAATAAAATCTCACAGCTGTCCCGCGTTGGCAGTGGCTTCTTGCCAAAGACCAGACGGCTACTGGTCGGACTGTGGCACACAATCAGCCCACTCCGATTATGCGGATGAAGAAGATTCCTTTGTCTCGGACAGTTCTGACCAGGTGCAGGCCTGTGGACGAGCCTGCTTCTACCAGAGTCGAGGATTCCCCTTGGTGCGCTACGCTTACAATCTACCCCGAGTTAAAGACTGAATTAATGTGTTTGTAACTCTTTTCCCCTTCAACCAAAATCACAGTGTTTGTAGAGTGAACCCTAGTCTGATCTTTCTTTCATCTGGGAAGCACTTCTGTAATCACTGCCTGGTGTCACTTAGAAGAAGGAGAAGGTGGCCGTTTATTTCTTAAACCAGACATCTTCAAAGAACAAGTGCCTCAGCTATCAATTGGTGAACAATGCCATGTCCAAGCAGTGTGTGGTCTATTTGAAACAAATTTATAACTTGAAAAAGATTTTGTGTATGTCATAGCAATATACTGTTAGGTTTTTCGATCCATAAGAAGCAAATTTATACCTGTTTCTGAATTAAGCACAAATAAAGAACAGCTGTTAATATTTTTTTAAGGATATTTTAAAATGTGATTTTATATAACTGAAGAAAAAGTCTTGCTAATTTTACCTAATGTTTCATCATTAATCTCAGGACAACTTACTGCAGGGCCAAAAAAGGAATCGTCTCCCAGGTAGGACCGTGAGAGTGTATGTAGGTGTTACGTGACTGCATTTTCTATTTCCATCTTTGACATGATAGAATCATAAATTTTGGTTAAGTGATTTATAAATCTAAAACCTGAAGATGTTTTTAAAACAATATTAACAACTGTTAGATTTTAAAAGCCTAGCTGAACATTTGTCTCCAGTCATCATACGTTGCTTCAGTGCGATCACGGTACTTTTTCCTCAGTGTTTTCTGATCACAGTCCTGGGAAGAAGGAAAGGACTCATTGCTGTGTGGGTTTAGCAGATTTGGCTGAACTGCTAACTAACGTGGGATTTTATTAGTGTCTGAGGGATTCGATGGCTCTGTGAGATGTTCCCATTAATAAACACTTCTTAGTATCATTGGCTCTACTGATATTTTCCAATTTTGTTAGTATGTTAGCTGTTTATAGCTTGAATTATACAGAAAGTAAACTGTGGCAAATAACTTCATTTAATTGGAAGAAATTGGGAGTAATTATGACACAAAGCACTTACATTTTATTTACTAGCGAGTTGGATTCTCCTGGACCTGTGCTCTTACATGGAAGCTGCCATGCGGTGTCCCCTGACTATGACTTAAAAAAGAGCCTATGCAGCAGCTTAGATGCTGTGTTTTTGTGAGACAAGACAAATATGTCACGAAGAAAAAAAAATTGAATAAAGCTTAGGCCTATGTCTTTAAAAATGAAAAATTTTACTTGATTCTCATCTATGGACTTTTGACATGTCACTATGTGGAGTCTTAAAGTTATAAATGTTCAATATGTGTTTTGAACAATATGCTAAATCAATAGCAGACCCACTGCCGTGTTATTCAGGATATACTAAAAAACATTAAGCTAGATTGCAGTTTAATAATTAAACTGTATATACTGTGCATATAATGAATTTTTATCTTATGTAAATTATTTTTAGAACACAAGTTGGGAAATGTGGCTTCTGTTCATTTCGTTTAATTAAAGCTACCTCCTAAACTGTAGTGGCTGCCAGTAGCAGAATGTTAAATTGTGGTTTATGTACTTTTCTGCATTGTAAATAGTCTTGGTTGTACATTGTCAGTGTAATAAAAACAGAATCTTTGTATATCAAAATCATGTAGTTTGTATAAAATGTGGGAGGGATTTATTTACAGTGTGTTGTAATTTTGTAAGGCCAACTATTCACAAGTTTTAAAAATTGCTATCATGTTTGTATATTTACACATCTGATAAATATTAAATCATAACTTGGTAAAAATATCCTAGCTAAAAGTATTTTTTTCAAAATTCAAGTTATTGAAAACTTTTCATTGCATTCATTTAAAAAATAGCAGATGTATAAAATAGGTGGTATACCATGCTATACATGTGGCAGGAAACACAGTATTGTACGCAGTGTTTTGAATTATTAGTTTCTAGAAAGCAATCCATTTTGCCTTAATTTATAACCAAGTATATTAAGGAACTTGCTTAGTGTGAAGGTAAGCAAATTAAAGTAAAATATTTTTTAAGTAAAGAGTGTTAGAAGAAATATGGGAAGAACACTTTGCTGAAATTTAGCAGTAAGCTTTTATTTTATCTTAGGTCTGAATCATACTCATGGAAAATAGTGAAATTTAAGAGAATACCTACTATCAATTAGATCTTTATTTAAAAGCAAATGATTAAAAAACCTGCATGATACCAAATGTAGTCAGTTGCCCAAATTCTTAGAACCAAATGTAGTCAGTTGACCAAATTCTTAGAAATAACTCAGTATTCATAATCATCAGGCCCTCATTTTACAGCTGAGAAAATGGAGGACTCAGTAATAAAATTTAAGTGGCCTGAGTCACACAGCAAATTAGGACCCAAACCATCACCCAGTTCCTCTTAATTTGAGACATAGTTTTTTGTTTTTGTTTCATTTCTTTTGAACTTCAGTACATGTTTGGAATTCCCTAACAAAATGTAGAGCGGCATAATTACCGGTACCTGCTCCCATCCCCTCGGCCCCCACCCCCGGTACCCATCACCCAACTTGGGCAGTTAACAGCAGAACATGGTAAGACTTGTTTCATCATCCCATTCACTAACCCCCTCCAAGTCCCCTGTCCCTTAGATTATTTTCAAGTAAATCTAAGACATCATATTGTTTCATCTGTAAATATTTCAGTGTGTCCAGGGATAAATTTTTAAAAAGTTGCGTAATGTATTGCCACAGGACCAACTGGTAATGGCATTATTGTTGTAACAAAATCAGAGATTTTTAATCAAGAGTCACTCTGCTCTTACACAAGGGTACAAAGCCAGCAAAAAATAAAAATTATCTCAAATATACCATGAAACTGAAAATAATGAGTAGTAAGAAGTTGCTAAGTCAATATCCTAAAACTTAAGGAGAGAGGCCCTATTTTGAGCTTATTTATACATTGATATATAATTCTACCAAACTTGATTATGGCTTCTCAGTCCCAGTAATGAAAAGGTGCTGTAAGAAAGGAGACCACAGGACCCATGATGTTCAAGCTCCAGCACCAGTGCCGAGGGCTTCGCCTCATGGCTGGAGCGCTGCTCTAGCATAATGCAAGAGTTGGTCATAATGATGATTCTGAGGCCTCCAGGAAAGGGCATAATTTGTTTAGTAAAACATTTTAAGGAGGCAGAGAAGTGTATGACATTCTAGATTCCCCTGCCAAGATGTTGGTTAGAGTGGAAAAGTCTGGAGTTTAAATGACAGAGTCTACCATTTTCTGTCAGGTCCTGTGCTAGAAGCTTTGAGAATTAATGAGATAATATGACTGGGAGGTAGAGTATTTCCCTATTTTACTGAGGAGTAAGTCAGGATTTGGAAAGGCCAAACAGCTTGGTTAAGGAAACCTAGTGAGCAAGAGGAAAACCACTGACAAAGATCCAGGCCCCTTTCATACTAAAACTTGTGTTTTTTCCTACTATGCTTCAGTTATGCCTGTTGGGAATGGCTTAAGTTTACCTCTTTATAAGCCGTGAAGTGGCCCAGGGCCTTTTGATGCTGTTATTGATTGTAGAGTTGTTCTCATAAAAGGTTTTAACCAGATATGCCAATATTGAATAATACGGGTAGAGAATGAAAACTCCATTAAGCCAGTTTTATTCCTTGATCAATTTTATTACTCTTAAATTGCTCCAATTTTCTCCCATTTTATTTTTTTACCGAAAAACGTTAACAAAATTAACATTCTATTTAAATAGTTGTAACCATGTCATTTCATTAATTATAGCTTCTGCCTTCTGAATTGCTCTTGGCTGCTATTATTTCTACCATATCTAATTCTCCTGTGTCAAATTCTTTGCAGATCTGTTTCATCAAAGATTTGCATCATTCTTTGGTTAATGACAAATTTTGTGTGCTGTTAGCCATTGTTAGCTTTCACTTTGCGATATTTCTGCCAGGGAGATGCATTATGAGGTGGACAAAAGCCCTATTTACAGGTGTGCACACTTTTGTCAGGGTGAATAAAGCATCCAGCTTTATCTGCTCTTTCACCTCTCCCTTGCTCCCTTCATCCCCAGCCCCAATCCCGAAGAGGGGAGTGCTCCTTCGGAGATCCCACAAAATTTTTCTTTTCTCCTAAAATGCCTGTCAGAGTATTTTAAGGGCATGATTCTTCACCACAGCAGAAGGAGAAGTGTAACGGCGGGGCTTTTATGTCACGCATCTCGAGGGTTTAGCACAGACCCTAGCACACCGGAGGCTCCAGCGAGGCCCCCGAATTCACAGCCATGGAAACTAGTTCCCTCGCGATGCCAGGCACACGAGGTGCTGCCCAAAACAGGGGAGGCCTGTCCTGGCGCGCACTCCTGAACACACGTACAGACCCGGACAGAGTTCGCCCGGCCCCGCCTCCAATACGGCCGCGTGCCGAAAAATCACGGCTGGGCCTTAGAACCACGGCCTCGGGACGCTGTGGGGCGGCTGTGGCTCCCGCCTCCTCAGCGACAGCACACCGCCAGGACGCAGCAAACAGCGGGCGGGCCCTACAGGCCGTCCGCAGAGCGGGCCGAGGCGGAGGCGGGCCCAGCAGCGCCGGCCGGGGGGCGGGGGCACGCGCTCCACAGGCCCCGAAACGCCCCGCGGCCTCCACGCGTCGCCACGGCAACGCGGTCTGCGCCTGCGCAGATTGGCCGGCCCGGCGCGCGCGCGGGGCCCGCTGGGAGGTCGCCGGCCGCCCCGCCGTTTGAACTAGGCGGCTCATGTGGGCGGCGGGCCGGCGGCGGGCGGGTTCGTGGGGACCCGGCGCCCGGGCCCCGGCCGACCTCAGGTCCTGGTCCCGGCCCTCTTCAGGCGCCTCCTCTGTGCTCGCGGGGCCGGACACGGTGACGCTGGGCCCGCCGTCGCCGCCGCCGAGCTGCAGCGAGTCCACCCTGTCGCTGTTGTCCCCCCTCGGCCACCAGAGCTTCCCGTCGGACGACGACGGGGACGGGGAGGAGGACGACGACGTGGACGCAGATGTCCGCGGCTCGGGGGCCGCGGCGGCGAGCCCGGGAGGAGCGGAGGCGCGGGGGCGCGGCAGGTAAAGCCGAGGCCGGCGCCGCCGCCCCGGCTTGTCCGCGCGGGGCCGCCGGGGTCCTGTGGTCCCCGAGGCTGTGATGGTGGCCGCAGTCGCCGCCCCGGGAGGGCGTGCGTCGTCTCGAGCACGCGGAGTAGTGTCCCCATTCCGGGAGTTTGCTGAGTACTCAGCGGTCAGCTCGTGGGCCCCGGGGCTCGTCCCGGCCCCTGACCCCGAGCGCGGGCTGCTGCCCCTTCGCGGCTCCCGCAGCCGGCGTGGGGAAGCCTGAGGCCCCGTGGAGCGGGCAGTGGCAGGCGGCGTGCTGTCCGTGCCGTGAATGGGGCGCTGGGCACCGCGGCTGCACTGCCGGCCTCAGCGTCCACACACACGCCGGGTCCCGTCCAAGCATGCGCTTGCCGTGCGATCCAAGTCACTGCATCAGAGAATGGTGGAACCAAAGAGATGGTTGGAACCACCTTCATTCGCTTGTTTCTGCACTTAGTCATTCAGCAAACGTTTGGTGTGTGCCACATACCAGTGTAGATCCTGGGCACCATAAGCAAGATAGACGTGGTCTACTGTCATGGAGTTGAAGCCTAGATAAGCCTCTCATTTTACAGATAACAAAATTGAGGCTCAGGATACAAATAAATAGTGATTCAAAGCATACACCTAGTTATTAGCAGAGCTGGGCCTGTACCAAGGTGTACTGGTGAGTTCTCTTCCGTATGCTGCATGCCTATTATGGGGTGTATAGAAATAGGAGCAAAAGACCTATTCCTGCAGAAATGTCTTTTTCTGAGACAGGCCTGGTAATGCAGGTCCATTCTGGGGTAGACTCATTTCGTCATCTTCAGAAAGCATTCAGAAGTTTCTAATTGTCGAGCTGTATAAGCTGCGATACAGGAGATCTAAACACATCAGCAGCAGGCCCGCCTCCTGCCTTGTAGGGTGTTCATAGCTGGACTGAGTGAGTGAGTGGAATATGGCACCATAGGAAGTGACTCCTACACGGTTACAACAGCCAGTTTCTCAAGAATGAAAAGTAAAAGTAGGTACGTTGTTGGGAATGGAGATGAGTGAGAGTAACCAAGCAAGCCACTTGTCCAGACAGTTGTAGCAACAAGAAGCAAGCCTTCTCTGACGGAACTGATAGGAGAACTAGGATTTCAGGAGTCTGTTTTCATGTGGGCCTTTGTAGGGATTCTTCAGGACTGAGTTGGTCCCAAAGGTTTTTAAAATAAACATTAAGGCTTTGGGAAGCCTTAACAGAAGGTTTACCTTCTGACCTAATCCACAGGACTAAGCAATATAGACACAGTTTAGCCACCCAAGGAATGATGGCCATCAAAACTACAGCTCAGCTCCTGAGACCTTGCACTGGCTTCCCAGAGCCAAGGCCATGTGGAGCCCCCAGGGGAGGAGCCCCCAGGAGAGGAGCCTGATGTATTTGTGTCTCACCTTAGCCCGAGCCCGAATGAGCGGGGAGCATCCCAGCTCTCAGGCTGCCATTCTTATCACAGCTCCTTGCCTGTGACTCAGAGGAAGCGATAGGATGTGGGACAGAAGGAACGCAGTTGTCAGGCCTTGTGTGTGGCAAGTGTCAGAAGCTCATTAGGTGTTGAGTGAATGTGTGCTGAATGATGCCCATTTCCCGCTTCTGGAGGACTGATAGATGTGGCAATTGTTGTCAAATGCTTCAGAACACCTAGCAGTGCCTTTCAGGACAAGAAGTGAGAAAGTTTCCTTGTTCCTCCTTCCTGCTTCTCACCTTTAGTTGGTGTCCCGGACAGTTTGAGGGTGGTTGGTGAAGAGAGCAGGCAGCCTGAGTCGGAGTCCAGCCACAGTTCTGGGCGTTGAGTATTCTCTCTGGACCAGGGAGTAGACTAGAACCACCTGGGATTTCCTGCCTTTTTTCCATCCTTCACCTGGCACAGTGACCTGACTGTGGCAGAACTAAGAGGGTGTGGTTGTTTTGAGATAGACTCAGGTATCAGCTGCACAGGAGGGATTTGAGCGTGGGTATTTTAGGTGTAAACAGAGCCATGCTTAGCGAATGCATTGACCTTCAGATTTTTATATCACTCTATCCACTAGGAACCCATCCCTTAATAAATGTCTTGGTCATAAACAGGTGCTTATCAAGCCTTTCTTCCTTATGGGTAGAGCTGTAGTGTATATACCACACGTTTTGAACACATTTGTTAAAAATGTTAAGGCAAGAAATTTAATATTTAAAGTGTCATTTTTTAAAAAACACTGATATGTGATAAAAGCATTTGTTAAAAAACACTGATCTCACTTATTCTTTCAACAAATATTTCTTCTTCTTTTTTTTTTTTTTTGGTGAGGAAGGTTGGTCCTGAGCTAACATCCATTGCCAATCTTCCTCTTTTTGCTTGAGGAAGATTGCCCCTAAGCTGACATCTGTGCCAGTCTTCTATTTTGTATGTGGGGCACCACCACAGCGTGGCTTGGTGAGCAGCTTGTAGGTCCGTTCCTGGGATGTGGACCCACGAACCTGAGCTGCCAAAGCGGAGCGTGCAAACTTAACCCCTACACCACCAGGCCGGCTCTTCAACGAGCATTTCTTAGGAGACTACTATATTCTAGGCCCTAAGCTAGACTCTTGAAATAAAAAATGACTTAGGACATGTCTTGTATCTGTAAGGAATTCATGGCCTATGGCAGAGAGGGACAAGAGACTGAAAGCCCAAGGCAGTTATTCGAATTGTTTGCAGAGTTTCACTGTGAGGCCCTAAAGATTCGTGCCTGAGCTGACTCTTGAAGGGAGAGTGGGAGGTAGCCATCCTCCTCCTCCTCCTCTGAAATGACAGGTAACAAATGCTTCCCAAGTGCCCGGAACTGGCCCAGGTGCTTTAGCGTGGATTCTCTCATGCCTGTGAGGTGCTGTGAGCTAGCCACTGCTGTTGTCTCCATGTTACAGATGAACAGTGGAGGCCCGAAGAGGATAAAAAGTGCCTGTAGCTAGGGAGACACAGACATTCACCCTAAATGTTCTGCCTCCAAGTCTAAGCTCTCACTTTGGCTGTGTGTAGAGGTGGAGGAAAGGAATTTCAGAGTTTTAGGCAAAGCTGCAGAGCACAAGGGTCTGGCACATTCATCAGTCTGCCCAATTAAACAAGACTGAAATGTCGAGTCTGGATCAGCCACTGGTCAAAGAAGGGGCTGGAAGATAGGCAGGGGCCAGCTCCTGGGTGCCAGGCCGCGGAGTTTGGATCTTAGCTTGTCGGCAAAAGAGGCACTGAAGAACTTTGGGATGGGGGGGTGACATGATAGATGGATGCATTTGAGGGGTGAATCTGGCAGCATTGTGAAGAATGGTTTGAAATGGACGGGGAAAGGCCGATTATGACCAGACAATGGTTGTAAGATTGGAGAAGAGGAGAATGGCTTGAGAAAATTGAAAGAAGTAGAATAGACCTGACTAGGTGATTATATGAGTGTGGGAGGTGGGGGACCAAGTGTGGACAGGGAACAGGAGGAGTCACAGTGTCTGCTCTGGCTAACGGGAGGGGAGGGGCTTTGGGACTCTTCACTGAGATAGGATTATCAGAGGAGAGTAGAAGTTTTCTTGGTGGGAAGGGCCATGGGTGGCTGGTAGAAGATGATTAGACGTGTGCTGGACTGAGTGTGATATTTCAGTAGAGCCATCAGGTGGTTGGGAATAGAAGTGTGAAGCTCAGGAGAAGGATCTGGCCTGGAATGACTGATCTGGGCGTCATTAGCACCTAGTGACAGTTGAAACTATGGGAGCAGACGAGGTCGTTCTGCAACACGGAGAAGGAGAGATGGATCAGAAGTAAGCACAGCAACGTGTCTCCCACTAAAATACAGATTCCATGAGGTCGTGGATAAATGAAGAAATAGCAGCAGAAAAAAACGAGTCAGCTAAAGCTGTGAGGTAGCAGAAGTTGTGCATAGCAGTGGGTGAGGCACTTGGCTGCCTGAGGCAGGAGTGTGTGTCAGAGACCAGAGAGGAGCCGAGTCTGTAATAAGCTCGTCTAGAGCTGCCTTGGGTCCTGAACCAACCCTTCTCTCCAGGGCTGCTGATGGTTCAGCTTTTCCTAAGTTTTATGAGGCTCGTGTATCTGGCCAAGGCCCTGTGTTCTTTATGTATGGATGGACTTACAGTATTTCCCCTCCCTTCTCTCTGTAGCTTGAGTGAGTAGTTCCTTTTCCATGTACCCAGAAGAGACAGACTGACAGGTGCACAGTGGAGGTGGAGACCCTGCTAGGAGCTACCCAAACTGTGGAGAGTCGTGGACACCCTGAGAATTGGCAAAAGGGAGTCAACCAAAACATTAGAGTACAAGGGCCATATTTTTTTATAACTTTTTATTTCAAAACCATTTCAAACTTAGAAAAGTTGAGAGGATAAGAATTTCTGTTCACCCTTTACCCAGAATTAACACATTTGCTTTATTTTTCTGTCTGTGTATATGCATATTCTTTTTGTCCCTGAACTACTTAAGGGAGGAAAAGGGAAAAGTCT